TGTTCCTCCCTCAGCCAGAATTGTGAAGAGTGTTACTAAAAGGCCTCACAATGGAGCTTTTCATTAGAACTCTGTGAGGCAGACAAAAAAGAGGCTTTTGGAAGGAGTGAATGCAGGAGTTTAATTTGCAGGTGGAGAGTAGATAAAAGGTGCTGACGCCTCTGTTATTTTTTTTTTACTTAGGTGACCCTTACCCCGTTCAGCTGATTCCAACAACAATGGCAGCTGCTGCCGCAGCAACCCCAGGTTTAGGCCCGCTGCAACTGCAGGTAAGTGCTTTGTATAGAGGCAAAGGTTGAGAGCATCTGAAAAGTTGGACCCTGCAATGCCCCTTCCGCCAAGGTGCCTTCTCAACCCTGCTCTTGGGGTGGAGGAGATGAAACCTCCCTTTGGAGGAATACAGCTGCCTATGGAAATAACTTCTTTTGTTTGTTTGCTTGTTTGTGTATTTATTTATCGGGTTATATGGCCACCCATGTCACCAAGGCTGAGTGGCCATAGAAAAATGGGACAATGTTTTCATTTGGGAGATTGAGTGTGAATTGTGCAGGAGGAGGAGGTGGAGGAGGAGGAGGAGGAGGAGGAGGAGGAAGGGGGGGGAGGAGGGGGAAAAAAAAGAAGGACAGGGGGAGGAGGAAGAAGGAGAAGAGGAAGAAGAGAGAGGAGGAGGAGGAGGAAAAAGGAGAGAAGAAAAAAGAATGACAGCAGGAGGAGGAGGAAGAAGAGGGGGAAAATAATGAAGAAGAAGAGGAGGAGGAGGAAGGAAGAGGAAAAGGAGGAGGAGGAAAAAGGACAGCAGGAGGAGGAAAAAGGACAGGAGGAAGAACAGAAAGAGGAAGAAGGAGAGGAGGAGGAGGGAGAGGAGGAAGGAGAGAAGGAGAGGGGGGAAAAGGAAATTGTCTTGCCCTTTCTTTCTTTCCGTTGTCTCTGTGTGTAAGCCCTTGAATCATTCTAAGAAGTTGAATTTGGAGAGGATAAGAGTAACAATTACTACCCTTTGAAAATGCATATGTTTGGAGCTGAGGACATAGGAGGAACAAATCTGTGCATTTGGCTGTAGGAAACATAATTTAAGGAATTAACTGTTTCTGAGAGATGTCAAGTTATGGGACCCAACGCTATAAGGGTTATTTTCCAGATTATTTATTTACTTTCCATTTTTATTCTTCCTTACTTTCCTAACAGTGGCAGGGGTACAATACCAAAATGATCTTGCACTCATTGGCCAGATCTTCATTTTTTTAAGCTTTTGCAGGATGGTTGCATCACATGATGCAACTTGGGGAGGATGGAGAGAAATTATTATACTACTCGTTCAAAATTTGGAGCAGAGAACATGAGAAGAACCAAAAGATGCATTTGTTTGTGGGAAGAATAATTTAAGAAATTGTTGTAAGAGATTGGTCACGTTATGGGATCCAGAGCTATAATGGTTATAGATCTTTTCATATATACATAAATAAAATTAGGGAGTTCATTAATGGGATTCTACCCATGTCATTAGCCTTACTTCTCTAATAATGACATGGGTAGAATTCCACCCATTGGCCAGAACTGAGTTTTCTTAGCTTTAGCAAAATGGTTGCATCACAGGCCTTCATCCTGTAGCCTTTCAGGTTGTACTTTCCAGATGTTCTGGGATTGCAATGTCAGAATTTCTAGTTTTTGAAAATGTGACCAGGAATTGCCAGTTTTAGTCCATAACTTATAGCCAATTAAATACCCTACCTTAGGGCTTTGGAAGTATGGGAAGCAGAGACAAAACTCTTTATAGGTAATGTACCTGGTTAGTTGAAACTGCTCTAGAAGTGCACCAGATGCTTAGACGTTAGAAAGAGTGCCAAGAGCAACAAAGATGATAAGAGGTCTGGAGGCTAAATTGTATGAATCATAGTTAAGGGATTTAGGTATGTTTGTCCTAAGAAAGAGAAGGTTTAGGGGAGACACGATAGTTTTCCAACACTTGAAGGGATGCCACGGGGAAGAAGGCATCAGTTCATTCTCCATAACACCTGAAGGCAAGGCAAGAAGCAATAGGTAGAAGCTCAGTAGGAGGAGATCCATCCTGGAAATGAGGAATTTCCTGACAATGAAAAGTTAATTGATGGAACTTCTTGCATCCTGGAATTGTGGATTCTGGGGGTCTTCAAGAAAAAGATTGGACAACCATTTGTCCGGGATGATATAAAGACTCCTGCCTTGGACATGGGGTTGGACTAGAAGACCTCCAAAGTCCCTTCCAGACTTATGATTCTATTATTATGTATTAGATTTTTATGCCACCCATCTCCCCTATAAGGTAATTCTATGATTGTATGAGATGATGGTTGACATTCTGATCAAACCATGGATTGAAATTTTGGGTGGTGGAAAAGCATGAGCTTGTCTCCATTGCTATGTTGAGCTTATAATGTTAAGTGTTCTTCACATGAACACCTGGCTACACAGAGTATTATTCTTCCCTGAATTTCTAAGGGGGAAGAATTATTTATTAATGATGTTTGTTGAATTGGCTGCTAGAGATCTTGCTTCATCCTGCAAGATATCTTAATGGCAAAGTTATGGGCTACCTCATGGATGGGTGGCTATGTGAACTGGAGCCTTCTTTACTTTCTTGGCTAATCAACAGATAGTGAATCTTCAATCTACAGCTATAAATGATTCTTTATTTCACATTGGTGGGAGAGAAATGCCATAAGCTTCCAAGTTAATGACCTAAGTGCTATTGACTCAACTCCTGGTAAATACATGGACATGTCCTTGCTGTTTTGACCTGTCCCCAATAAAGTTGGGGACCTGCTCCCTTCCAAGGACAGTCTAATAGTCCTTTGAATTCTATTTTCTTGTTGTCTTCGCCTTCTTTGTCCTCAATCTTGCCAAACATAATAAATTCCATCATCTGCTTAATGTCGGCGTTCAAGAAAACCTCCACTCCAACAAATAACTCCGAGACAGTCATCCTCTCCAAAGTTCTTTTTATTAAGAGTAGTAAACTGGCACATCTGAGAAATCCCAAATCTGAAAGTTCCGGGTTTCCTTGTAAAAACTACAAATCCACCCCCTGCACCCCTCATTGGATCACATGCCCCAATCACCATCCGTCCCAGCTTGAGATGTCCTCTCGAGCAGGTGCAGAAATAACATGACCTTGACTTAGAAGAAGAATGCTATTATGTCTAACCAGATACACTCCAAGAAATTCCTCCCTCACATTTTCCCAGGCTCAAGAATGTGGCAGTGTGGAAGCATCTGGTGCTACTATGGCTTCCAAAGCTGACACTTATATTACTGCACATACCCAAATGTATCTTGATCATCTCAAGACCTTCTTTTATCTGGCACTTTTGCTAATTCATGACACCTCCTTGTAACCATCCTCTAATTCAGAACGTGAATGCATCTACCTTCTTTCTCTTGTTCTTTTACAATAACCAAATTTCACAGGAACTCTTCACCACAGAAAAGACCTTTAACAATTCTGACCTTTTTTATCCTTATCCATGTTTTTTTCTCTAAATTTTTCATGTTTGGGAATGAAACTGGGGACCAACAGATCCTAGATTTAAAATGAACTGCTAAGTTAATAAATCCCGGTTACCTTTATGACCTTGGCAGAAAGCTATCAAATATGCATTAAACAAAGAAAAGTGGAAGGAGAAACACTAGAATGTAAACATTGGAGTAATGGCATCTAGATAGGTTTTGATTGCTGTATGCCTCAGCAGGCAGATAGCTTGTTGTAGTGGGCTTCATTCTTGTCTACAATAAAGCATTTACACTGGTTGATCGGTGTCTAAATGCCTGCCATTTAGTAAGTCAATTCCAGAACAAGGGGTTGAAAATTCTAGAGAGCCTACATTTACATCTGAGCCAGGCTGAAGTGTGACATATTGCCTTCTTCTCTAGGATTAATCTGTTTACTCCTCCTACACATTGTTCCTCTTTACCTCTTCTTCAGTGCAAGAACATAAAAACTGTCTACCACCTTTGCTTCTTCAGAGACAACTGTAAGTTCACCAAGCATGCTGGTTGCCATTACCTTAATATTTATCATTAATCCGGGTTTTTCTTTTCCCTTTCCATTTTTTTGCTTTCCCAATGAGCTCTTCTAATTCTTGTTTACTTCTGACTAACAATGTGGTGTCATCTTCAGATCTCAGATTGTTAGAATTCGGGCCTCCAACTTTATTCCATCTGCCATTACATCCTTCCCTCCCATTCTTAACAGTATCTTTGCTGCAGATGTTCAACAGACTTGGAGACAATATGCATTCTTTTGCTACGGCGAACCACTCAGTGTCTCCAAATTCAGTAGTTTTCTGCTCATTGCAAAGGTTCCTTATAAGACACTTATTGAAAGCCATTTTGGGGAGAAACCCCTGAAGTTGATATGGCAAGAGTTGGTACATTTCAATGACTCTCTGCCTAACTAATTTTGTTCTGACTGATGAAGTTGCTTGGATGAGCAATGAAATGTCTCAAGATTAATAAGTTTGGCCCAGTAGCCATGATTCAACCTTTGGACACCTTTGGCCTGGGATGATTGAGACTTCATTGATCTATGTTCCTTACAATAATTTTCTGATGCTCTGAAATAACCATTAGTCTGTTCTGCATATTGACATGATCTGAAAGACCTTGATACAATCAGTTTCATTCATAGAACAAAAGTTATGAGCAAATTTCCAGAGGAATAAAACTATGCGTACCTTAGATAAGATCAGTTGTTTCTTTTATCCAATACTGTTATCAATTCCAGCTATTTAAGTTGTCTACTTCTCTAGTATTTTTTTTTCATTACCTGCTACCAGCTAAAGAATAGAATAGAATTCTTTATTGGCCAAGTGTGATTGGGCACACAAGGAACTTGTCTTGGTGCAAATGGACTCAGTGTACATAAAAGAAAAGAGACATTCATCAAGAGTCAAGAATCATAAGGTGCAGCACTTAATAATAGTCATAGGGTACAATAAGCAATCAAATCATACTAGGAAACAGTCAATATAAATCATAAGGATACAAGCGACAAAGTTACAGTCATACAGTCACAAGTGGGAGGGGATGGGTGATAAGGAGTGATGAGAAGGTTAATAGTAACAGTAATGCAGAATTTGTAAATAGTAGGACAGTGTTGAGGGAATTATTTGTTTAGCAGAGTGATGGCGTTGGGGAAAAATCTGTCCTTGTCTAGTTGTTCTGGTGTGCAGTGCTCAATGGTGTCATAAAGATGTTTGAAATTGTGAGACCTATCAAATGCAAAATGTCTTTT